TGTTTCGAGTCTTCCCCCACCCACAGACGGGTGCGGTGTTTCGAGTCTTCCCCCACCCACAGACGGGTGCGGCTGTTTCGAGTCCCTCTCCAGGGGTGTTTTATTTAAACTTATTCATTTTGTGAGATGTGGGTGTTGCCGTCTGGGCCCAGCATTTATTGCCCCGTCCCTTGTTGCCCCTTGAGAAGGTGGTCGGGAGCTGCCTTCTTGAGCCACTGCAGTCCCTGTGCTGTGGACTGACCCACAATGCTATTAGGGAGGGAATTCCCGGATTTTGACCCAGCGACACTGAAGGAATGGGGATACATTTCCAAGTCAGGATGGGGAGGGGCTTGGGTGGGAGCTTACAGGGGGTGGTGTTCCCATGTACCTGCTGGATGGAAGTGATCCTGTTTTGATGAATGATTAACAAGGAAGGTGCCATTGCTGAAGGAGGGTAAGTGAGTCTGTCATTGGCTGAGGCAGTGCCTCCTCTACAGATTTCACTCAGCTCCAGCCAATCAGAAAGAGCAGAATCTGTTGGGCCTGACAAGATGAGATTAAATGTAAATCTGGAACATTTAATCACTCTATAAATCAGAGTCAAGGCATGCACAAATTTTAAAATGTGCTTGAATTTAAAATCAATCAATCTCGTGGCCTGTTGCAGCTGATAGCGATTTGCTGAGGTTTAGTTGTGCAGAGTTGTTCCTGACACAATATTCACAATTTATTTTTCCTTCTTGTGTATCTCCCTCCCATTTCACTTCCTCTCAACTTCCCGTTTGGTTCTGTTTTAATCTCCATCCTCCTCCTCTCTCCCAGGATCAGCAAGTTCTCGGAGCCAGTCAATGGTAGATCATTCCACAAACAACTTGGGATTGGAGGATATTATTCGGAAGGCTTTAATGGGCACGTATGATGACCATGGTCGGGATAGGCCAGAGGGCAATGCTGCTACAGTTTACCCTCTGGCCATCAGTGCCAGCTCCAATACTGTGGCTCAAGGACAAAGTGAGGACATCCACAGCATTTCCTTGACAGGTCTGCACCTCCCACCCCCAGTGCCAGTTTATACAGTACACAGGCCCTGTTTTCTGGGATGAGTTTCCAGTTCAGTGCTGTTTTCTGCCGTAACATTGAAAGTTTTAACAACAAGTAGAAAGAAAACTGCAGCCTGCTGTCTGAGTTTTTAGAATTGATTTTTGACTGACGGGTAGAATAGTCAGGTACTTGCATTCACAAGAAAATCAAACTGAAACAGTTTGTTAAACTGGAGAGATTTTTTTATTCACTTTCAGGACATGAGTGTCACTGGCTGGGCCCAGCATTTATTGCCCCATCCCTAGTTGCCCCTTGAGAAGGTGGTAGTGAGCTGCCTTCTTGAGCCGCTGCAGTCTGTGTGCTGTGGGCTGACCCACAATGCCTGGGATTTTAATCAGTAACACTGAAGGATATTTAATGGATTCAGATAAACATAATGTAAGTAACTGATTGAGATGTTTTAACAGGTTCCCCATTTTGTTCTACACAAAGCAAAAACAAATTGGATTCATGTCCCTGGATTTAGGTGCAGGGCTATAGCCTGTAAACACAGGAGATAGTGGCGACGAGTTCTCATGTTAATCTGGATTTGAATTGTTGGTGCTCAGTTCTTTTGCTTTTTGAATTACAGGTGGAAGCAAGTTGAAGCTTGGTGTTCGGTCGAAAGGCAGGAAATCCAGGTCCCCAGTCCCTGGCCTGGCCTGTTGTGAGAGACCGACGTCTGCACATTCAGACTCGGACTGTCACAGACGAAGTCCGGTAACACAGCAAGTGTGGGAGAACAGACCATCATCCACAGGTAGGTGTACACATCAGCTTTAGTCACAAATAATGTTTCAGAGATAGCAGGAACTGCAGATGCTGGAGAATCTGAGATAACAAGGTGTAGAGCTGGATGAACACAGCAGGCCAAGCAGCATCAGAGGAGCAGGAAGGCTGACGCTTCAGG